CGATGCTGTGCGTCCCGTCCGTTTGATAGGACGGCTGCTTGTACATCTTAGCCCTTTGGCATACGTCGCAGAATGGATTCTTTGGCTGATGGGACATCAAGTGATGGGTGCTTTTTGCTTCGGCTTTCAGCTTTTCAAAAGCACGCGATCTCTTGCCATCCCCTTCGGGCACTCGACCTGCTCCATCACCTGGAGCAACACTCACTCCTTCAGGATGAGGAGGCGAATCGCTCGGTTCAGCAGGTACGAGGCTTCCTCCTTCGTCTATCTTGTATAGCACGGACTCGGGAGGATGAGCAGGAGGTGGAAGGGGTGCTACCGCCTCACGCAATTGCTCTTCAACTCTAGACCAGTCCGGTTCAGGAGGAGAGGGTTTGGCCTTAGAGGATGCGGATTTCTCCTTAGGAGAGCTAGTTGGCTTACCCTTCGATTTGGTTTCGGGTTTTCTGGCACGATCTGGAGAGCTCTTGGGCAAGTCCATCATTGCTAGATCATGTAGTGTCATCTCTTCATCAATCTCGACAGGAGCAGCAGGAACCTCAACGCTCCTCCGCGGAACAAGGAACCCATACTCTTTCAATTTGGTAATCTCATCTGGGCTAAGTTTATGGATAGCTCGGTTGACATAGGCCGTGATGCTCCACCTCTCACCTTTCCAGGGAGTGACGCAATGATAGGATTTGGGATTGAACGTCACAACATTCTCTCTTGAATCCCACAACTTCCCTACCATTGAATCTCCCGAAGGAGAGGTCATCACCTCAGTGTCACGTTGGTTCTTCTCGATGCAGTTATCATGAACCCACAACTGCCCGCCTGTGAAGTCTCCAAGCGAGATTGTGAAATTGTCGTGGTCACGATGATTGTTCACATCCTTGTGCATCTTGACATCGGAATTACAATTCACAGCTAAGGACGTCACCGGCCCATCAACGCCATGCTTCCTAAGATATCCCAGGAGATACTGAATGACTTTGGGGTAGGACTTGGATCGTTTTGTGATCCCTTGCATTCCCCCATGAGAAAACGCTCCAAACACGAGATATTTTGAGTCGCGGTCATCTTTGACGCGGATCGCACTGCGACGGCTCTTGGGCTGTTTGAAAGTTGATTCTTTGAGTAAAATCAAGCACGACCGATGCGAAAAGTCCTGATTCTGGAGAAGCTCTTTCGCCACGATCTCGGGGTCCGTACGGCTCCCGCCTGATGATGCGGCGATCCTTCTTGCAGGGCACGCAGTTCCTTCTTTCCATGATTTGAGGTATGGAACATTATCCCGTACATCAAGGTAAACCTTCCCACTGCCAGGAACTTTGAAGTATGGTCTCTGAAATCCTTTCCAAATGAAATCATACCCTTGCTCCATGCATCTCTGACCAACCGAAAGAACGCTCGGAGTGTTGGGCAACACATATGGCTTGGCAACGCTATTGATGGAGGGAACCCCCACCTCGCATTGCCTGTTGGCATAGCCCGGACCATTCGCAGTAGAGATGTTGATTGGGCAGTCTGATTCAAATGGAACCAGATCCGCGAGCTCCCGCTCGGAGATGAGATCTTGAGCACTCCCTGTATCCCCTATCCATTCCATGGGATGAGAACATAACGCTGCATCTGGTTTGGCGGGGCACGTAACCCTTAGACCCTTTGGAATGCAGTGGTCGCAACCAAACTCGGTATCACAACAGAAGTTGCACTTTGCAGGCACACCATCGAGACTGCTCCGCACAGATGCGCGTAGCATCCTTGCTGCCATGAGCGCATCCTTGGTGGATTGTGCGTTGCCCGATGGAACGTCCTCAGTAGACCAGCTACTTGTGAAGGTACGTTTGGGGTATTCAACAGAGTACTTCAATTCTCCATCTCTAAGAGGGAAGTTGATATAGTCAGGGCTGTCATCGAATGACACCGCTGCAAGCGCCAGGTGTGTAAACTCGGAATAATGAGAGGGCCAACACGACTCATCCTTCCGGAGAGTGTAAGCATCGGCATGGTGAGCCGTGCCTGCCATCATTGCTCCTAAAAGGCAAACCGCAGTAGGAATGGAATGACCACCGCCCTTCTTGCGACCTGAGCCCCCAGACTTCCGCGAGCCATTAGAACCCTTGGAGTTCTTACTGCCCTTTGAATCCTTAGAGCTAGGCCTAGAGCCTTTGCGATCTTTCTTCTTCTTCTTGTGCCTACCCTTACTCTTGTCAGAGTGCGCTGAGCCTTTCGCGCTGCCTCCGGACGGAGCCGCAGCACCTGGCTTTCCCGTATGCAGGAAGGTGCATTTGTCTCCACGGTCACAGCGACCTTGCTTGAAGAATTTGCACTCACGTGGACCGCGACTGGGAGAGCCTGTCCTCGAGGGACTGCGCGGACCACGGCCTCTGCCGGGTGTGGGTGTGCGAGGGCGCCCGGATGGCACCTGGTGCTTATACTTACACTTTTCACCGTTTTTGCAACTACCATTCTTGACGAAGGCAATGCAGAAACCTTTGGGCACCTTCTGGGGTGCTGGCATGGCAGGCACCTGAGGGGCGCCTGACTGTCTTGCTATGCGCTCACGATTTCTCTCAAGTCTTTTGCGATTGATGTGCGCAGTGGCAGCATCATACAGAAATTTGAAGGACCTCTCAGCGGTTCCTTCTGCGGCTCTTTCGTAGACATTGATGTCGTGCTGAAGGGCTCGGCACTTTTTGATCTGTCTATGGAAGAGAGGTTCAAGGACTGTGTCTTCAGGTGTTTTCTGAATCCCTGAAAGAACAGTATCCCAGTTCCTGATGAATGTCACCAAATTCTCGTTAGTCATGGTGACTGACAACAAGTCTTCCATATCATAAACAGAATTGTGCAAAGTACTTGTGCAAGAGAAACAGGATCTGCCTACCTCTCACAAGCCTTCCGGCGTGAGCCTCCCTCTCTTTGAGGGTGTCCATCTGGCGTGCAAAATCGCCTTCCAGAACATTGGTGATCGCCGACAAGATCTTTGCATCAAGCGTGGTGAAGCCGTCAGTGTTAATGAGATCGCTCTCCTTAGCATCCTTATCCCAAACGTTAGCAAGCCATTCAAAGGCTTTGTCTGGCTTGTTGGAGGCAGCAACGACTGCTTCGCGAACCCTAATCCGCCAATTGCGATACTGCTCGGGTGTAGGAAACTTAGGAAAGACGATCTTTTCGGCTTCTTTGGACTTGTTCTTGCTACCTTCATCCTCAGTATCCTTGTCATCCCCCGACTTCTTGCTACTCCTGGCCAGGGATTTGAGCAGAGCCTTGAGCTGCTTGGGAGATAATCCTGAGTCAGATGACGAGGAACTACTGGAATCCCTCTTCTTCTTCTTTTTGTCTTTCTTCTTGCTCTTTTTCTTCTTGTGATGGCTACTGGAGTCATCATCATCACTGCCGCCGTCATCCCCATCATCTGGGCCACCACCGTCAGGGGGGCGTCGGAACCTTGGTCCCATGCCATCCTGCGGAGGCGTGTTGATAGGAATCGTCGGAACAAGTCCCGGGGGCACAGTGGGCACAGAGCTCGAGGCGTTGGCATGAGCCTCAAGAGCGGCAATTGCCTTGCTGAGCTGCAATTTGAGCTCAGCGTTCTCTCTCTCAGCTGCTTTCCGCTTCTCGGACTCCTGACTAACGACTACTCTGAAGTCTCGGACCTCAGCAGAGAGGCGATTGATCTCAACCTCAGATGAAGCCTGCACTGCATTTGTTGCCTGGGCAGCAGAAACGCGTACACTGTCAAGCTCAGAGTTCATGAGATCAGCATTGCTCATGGCCTTAGCTTCCGCTAGGTGGAGTTGCTCCTGGAGCCTAGCATATGACAAATCTGCGTGCGATTCTGCAGATCTCAATTTTTCAGCCAAGGCATGAGCTTCACCGCGAGCCATGTTTATCTCAAGGGCCTGCGATTCCAATTGAGTTTGGCCTGTTGAGAATCTGGCTCTGGCTTGCTGTTCCTCTTCTCCAAGCCTTGTTTCGGCCTGAGCAAGTTCAACTCTTAGTTTCGACACTCCGGACATGACATGGCTACCCATAGATAGCATCTGCTCCTGAAAACTGTTCGTGATCTGACCAAGGATCTGGTTATGGCGATGCTCAGCAATCTGTTCAATCAGAGGTGATCTATCATTCTGAATGAACGTCTGGCTTACGTTAGCTTGGTTCTGCATGAGTCTTTGTTCGCCAATCATTAAGCTGTTCATCGTCGCGGAGTTCGGCATAGAGAAACTCGGTGCTGTCGGATTAAAGGTCTGAAGTGAACCTCTTTCAGCTACATTTGGAGCTGAAGCTTGTCTTTCATGAGGAGACACGACCTGCCAAGGTGTGGTGGTACTGAGGCTACTAGGTGCTCCTGTGGGGGCAGCAGCTTCCGAAACCGCACCTCTCTGGAAGAGACGCATGTCATGTATCCTCAGGGCATTGGTGGTCAAAGGAGGTTCACTGTCCCGGGGAGGAGCCTCGTCACCTGGAGCATTACCATCAAAGGACATACTCAGGCTACTAGCTCCGTCTTCCGGGATAGGTATACCTGCAGGATTAAGCGGAGCAGAATCCGACATTGCAGAGTTGGTCTAACAGAGTGCTACGGCTGATAACCTATTGTTACCAGCGGATAGCCCTGAACAATCATTTTCTTGAGCCACGGCGAACGGGTGAATACAGCTTGTGTCTTCCAGTAACTACAATTATAGTAGTAATGGGTAAATGAACCCTAAAAGGGTTTATGGTTCATATACCTTAATAGGAATTGTAGTAGTCATGGGTATATGACCCCAATTTTTAGGGTTCATTTCGTCCCCAAGGTTCTGGTCTGTGCTCCAACTCAGGAGACCATGAAACTGTAACTTGCTTGGGGTACATAGGGGTACCCCTATTTTACTTAATCCCTGTTCCCCTAGGAAGAAAAAAATCCTTTTTGTTCATATATAAGAAAGCCCATAACCAAACGTAAAAAGGATCCCTAACACTGACGGAGTTTTGGGTAATGCGCATATGTAGAACATGAGATGCACCTCGGACGGAAAGGCCATCATCGAGTCCGCGCGCGTCTTGTAGTTGTCCATATCCTTCCAGCTTCACAGAATGTACAAACCCTAAACCCTGAACCCGAAACCCGAAACCCTAACCCTTAATATCCAAATATGAAGCATCTCTTGGCGGAAAAAAAAAAGCTGAAAAACATTCGACAGCTGGCCAACGAAACTGTGTCCAACCACATGTCTTCTCTGAGCCCCCTGAGCGTCCTTGTAGAGCGAGTGGAGGCTGTCGTTTGGATGCGGTGGCATCTCTTTACCGACCGGGATGTCCTCCTGAGAGCTGTATGGGCTCTACTTAGATGTCTTCGATCAACCCGGCGGAAGCCCAACACCGATCGAGTTCAAATCATGAAAGCGGGCCTGGGCATAGAAGCCCTTGGTGTCGTACAGTTTCACGGCCTGGTGGCCGATGGCATAGCAGGCCCACCTGGTTTAGTTCACAGTTTTTGGTGCGGGGAGGGAGGTGGCAACCCTAAACCCTAAACCCTAAACCCAAAACCCTAAACCCTAAACCCTAAACCCTAAATGGCGTCACGGCCGGGTTCGTGCTGAGCTGTGGTTCTGCGTGCCAGGATGCGTGAAGGAATTCGACGATTCCAAGAGCCAGAAGCGATGCAATGGAACATGCTGTTCAAAAGCTCGGAAACTCTCAACTGTTCAATAGATTGCTTATGCGCCAGGGCAGGCCACTGTTCAGCTCAGAAATGTCTTGATGTCAAATCAGCTTCATTAGGGAGAGGTCTGCTTTTACAGGGTGTAGTTTCTGCAGGTCTCGCACACGTGACTGGCGGGCTGGAGGTTCGAAAATCATCGAGTCATTGGGGTGCTAGCTGCTAGCCAGGGTGCTTCATGGTCTCCGGGAAGAGCTCTGCTGGCACATGAGAAAGCAAGTGCCTGCTGACCTTCGCAGCTTGGTCAGGCCTAGGCCCCTGAGTACTCTCTGCTTATCAGGCGCCAAGGATTCGAGCACCAAAACAGATGGAACAGCACATCTTCGCACAGTGTTAGGGCCTACAGTTCAGGACGCAGGCGTGCAGTGTAGTTTCGTTTCTTCGGCTCATCTTCATATATATATATATATATATACAGATATGCGAATACATGTACAAGTATATGTACATGTGCATGTGCATGTACATGTATATGTATTGTATATATATATATATACATATGTACATAAAGATATTCTCCCGGAATGCATACAAAGCCGTCAAAAGCCACTCGGGAGCCCAACATAGGGTTTAGGGTTTAGGGTTTAGGGCTTAGGGCTTAGGGTTTAGGGTTTAGGGTTTAGGGGAACCCTTGGGGAGCCCTTGGGCCTGCAGAAGCAGGTGTGAGGCGAGGTCCGGATCTTTGGAGGTCTGCAAGGACCTTGGGACGTTGGGATGGCTTGGGGTTTTGGGGATTTGGGGTTTGGGGTTTAGGGTTTAGGGTTTAGGGTTTAAAATCGGGAGGGTACTGTCATCCCTATTCAGGAGCTGTTAGTATGGCAGAAGGGGGAACATCCCAACTTGGGGTGTCTTCAGGTATCATCCGCCGCTTCAGCGCTTCCGGCGGCTCGATGAGAATACATCTCTGCCCGTGGAGTCATACATGGTGAGAAAGCTAGAAAAGCACAGAAAAGCTTAGACCAAAAACCCATCTCAAAACCCTATAAACCCCTACATAAACCCTATAAACCCCTATATAAACCTTATAAACCCCAATATATTTCAAAACCCTACAAACCCCTATATAAACCCCATAAACCCCTAGATAAACCTGGCGGGGAGCTGCAGGTGCTCAATGCCGGCCACGTTGAGGCCACGCCTTCCCAGCTCTTCCGAGCCCAGCTTGCCAGTCACAGGGAGCAGAGCGATGCTCCTTTTAGAGAGGGTTTAGGGTTTAGGGTTTTAGGGTTTAGGGTTTAGGGTCTAGGGTTTAGGGTTATACTAACAGTCCTTCATAGGGATTATAGTACCCCCCCCCCCCCCTTTGAAAGGCATAGGTTGGGATGTTCCCCCTTATACTAACAGTCCTTAATAGGGATTACTAGTACCTCCTCCTAAAGTCCCTATGAAGGAGCTGTTTTAGTATAAGGGGGAACAGCCGAAGTTATAGGGCTTACGGCTCAGGGCTTGTGGAGTTTTGGGGGTTACTTTCGAAGTGTCGATGCGGTTGGCACGGCCATCGTCGCTCATTGTGGGCCCTTGTGGGGGCCCGCGTTCACGCGCAACTTCTCTGTACACGACTCACTCAACTCAACCGAACCCGAAAACCTAAACCCTAAACCCTCAACCTCGATCCGAAACCCTGGCGGCCCAAGCATGCGAAGACATGCTTCAGAAACGCCTTGGGGCGATCCCTTCCCTTGAAACACTGGAACCCTAAACCCGAAAGGCCCTAAACCCTAAACCCCAAAGGCCCTAAACCCTAACCCTAAACCCTAAACCCTAAACCTCATAAACCCTAAACCCTAAACCCTAAACCCTAAATCTGGATTTCCGAAACCCGGAGGCGCGTCCTTTGGAGCGGGCCTTTCAACTCCTTGAGGATGGCTTGGATCTGCGGAGGCAGGTGCCGCCACCTGGGTTTAGGGTTTAGGGTTTAGGGTTTAGGATTTAGGGTTTGGGGTTTGGGGTTTAGGGTTTCGGGCTTGGGGTTTCGGGCTTAGGGTTTCGGGTTTGAGGTTCAGGGTTCAGGGTTTAGGGGTTGAGGCGTCCTGATGCAAGGGAGAGGGCCGTTGTCATTAAAGGAGCTGAAGCTCTACCAGATATCGAAACTTCAGCAAAACATTTCTCAGCCAAAAGATGCTATCGTTGCTGGGAGTAGAGTCTCTGCGATTTGCCGTTGCGGTGCGATAATGCTTGTCAAAGCTACTGGCTTAAACGAAGCAAAGTCGGCAGCAGCTACAAATCGTCCCCTCGCAAGTCCGGGCGACATTTGGGGCTACTGCGGGTTTAGGGTTTAGGGTTTAGGGTTTAGGGTTTAGGGTTTAGGGTTAGGGTTTAGGATCGTGACGAGGAGGCAATGCAACAGATATCACCAGGCTGCTGCACTCAAGATCTATGATGGCTTCTGCCCCCCTGAACCCCCTGAACCCCATACACCGCACTCTGAAGCCTGCCATGATGCCTTTTTTTGGATCCGGAAAGCACGACCCCCAAACATCATCGGCCCTCCAAAAAAAACTAAATACTCAACCTCGCACGGTGCTGCTGCAGCACTTCCCGAAAGCGGCCAGGGCCAAACTATGCAAGGATGGCAAGCAATCCTAAACCCTAAACCCTAAACCCTAAACCCTAAACCCTAAACCCTAAACCCAAGCTTCTCTTACAGTCTGAAATTGACAATTGCACAAGAACTAGCGAGGCACCGAACCCTGCACCCACTTCGACCCTCGCCTCCCGCCAGCATCAGTTGTTAACACCCCTGGCAAAACGAACACCTTGACTGGGTTTAGGGTTTAGGGGGTTTAGGGTTCAGGGTTTAGGGACACTCATCTGGGCATCGGATGTATCGGCCCCAGGAGCCAGGGGTGGATGTAATGCCGCAACGCAGAAGCGCCCTGGAACAGCGCAACCAACCTGGCACCAAGGGAGCAGGTTAAAGAGTCATACATGTCTGTGTGTATGTATCTATATATATATAATATACCCTATACATATATACGTATGTATGTATGTATGCATGTATGTATGTAATTTTGTATGTATGTATGCATTTTTCAGTCTTATAGTCGCTACAGTTGCACGTAGAGATTGGGAAGGGCACGGCGAAGTTTCAAGCCCCAAGGCACGTTGACATACGCCCCGAACTAAGCCTGCTTTCAATACTTCTTCTTGGCCCATCAAGCATGGGTTTCAAAGGACACAAACGGCTCATTTGCTACGACTTGAGGTTACGGCGACAAGGAAATATCCAAGCAAAACAATGCCCGAGAGCTCAGCAAAGCCATGTTCATACCAAGGAGCATGGTCGTGGTGCGCTTGTCCGCGTCGCCTTTCTCTTTGCGCTCCTAGCTGATCCGCCAAGAGCTCTTCCCGCATTTCAAGCTGGCAAGTTATTGCAGCAACAATTCATGTCACTTTGTGTGAGCCATGGATAAACACTTCATGATTTCAAGCTTTCGCTCTCGCCTGAGCGATTCAAGAGTGCACAAAAATTATGCAAACTCCGACATTCAAGCGGTCGACAGTGCTAAGGCTGCTAGGGCGTCTCAGGGATGGACTTCACGGTAGCAACAGGTTTGCCCATTGCTCCTCCATGGCATTCTGGGCATCCACATGGCGTCTCCAGTTCCTCTGCAGAACGATGCTGGCAGCCACCTGCATCGAAGTCGTTGCAAGCCCTTTGCATCACTAAGGCACGGAGTCAAACCTTGAACGAAATCCTGATGATGGTAGATTTTTGCAATTGCTGTACTTGTTCATAGAGCCCTGCCAGCAGACACAGCCAGCGCGAAGGGGCAGACGATCTGATATGATATAACTTTGGGAGCTTGCCTGTCAAGGATTTGTCCAATCACAAGCTAAGGCAAGGATATCTGATCGACAGCCAGCCCTTGAACCCCAGGTATATGACCCTGAAATAACCCGCAGCAGATTGGGGGGGTGTACGACAGTAAGTGGCCCCTAAGACCCCCGAAATAGTAGGATCCTCTTATGAAAAGACCCCAATCAGGAACCCCCCCCCCAAGATCGTAAAGCCCCATATCATCTACCATCTACCGAATGCAAGGTCTGCGTACTGGCCGTTTTGCCCACCCAAAACTACAGTTTGCTTAAGAACCCTGTTTACTTAAGAACCCCAAAAGAATATCAAATAGTCCCTATTTTAACCTTAATAAGGAAGAACATGTTCATTCTGTCTGGGCTATTAAGCAATTAAATAGAAAATGCCGAACCCGAGCCCAACCACATCCAACAGTGCACACGCTGCCGAAAAGGGATGAAAACCTTGAAAACTCGGTGTCGCCTGGAGCTTTTGGCGCAAGATGTCCAGGCGCTTCAGGCGAAGGACTTCCATGCGCTCATAGAGCATCTGTTTCACCTGAGTTGTACAACGATCCGCAGTCTCGTCCCAAGCACCCAGCGCTTGTAGCCCGACTATAATCCCGCTGGCCCTCACCCAGAAAAATTGTTGAAAGCTCACTTTCCCGCCATAAGCAAGGGACAAAGTCTGCTGTAAGTAGAGTCCGAGAGCTTACTTGTGCCTCTCAGGGGTATATTTGTGCTTCTTCATGTAGACTTCCAACCCATGCTTCGGCCAAGACAGATTTCGAAACAGGGAGTGTGTGTGGCTGTGGGCGTTGGGCCTACACTTAGGAGAGTGGGAGGGCTTCAGGTCTGCAGCCCCGCGCTCCAGGCTTGTCCCTTTAGCTCAGGGCCCTCACACCACCGAAACCCTAAACCCTAACCCCTAAACCCTAAGCCCTAAACCCTAAACCCTAAAAGGCTGACCTTGTCGATTTCATGCGGTCCCCAGGGCCGACCCCTGTCCCCTGCAATTTGGCTCCCGGTGAGAGGGTTGGGATTGTTTGGGAGTGGTGAAGCTCGGGGCCTGATTTGTTTTGCCGGCCCCGACCATGAGAGCCTAAAATCGAAATCTATCTTAAGGGGTAAGACAGGTACTGTAAGAGTCTTCGTGCTCACTTGTATGATCATTGGTGGGCTTCAGCAATAACACATGCGGGATGCTCTCCGCAACATCGTGTTCTTTCGTAACACGCGCTATCACTGCACCATAGTCGCAGGAAAAAAAAGCGCACAACCATATGGACATCCTCGAAGGAGTATGCAAACGTGCTCGGCAATGTGGAACTGTTTGCTTCTGTATGTCCTGACGTGTCTTGTGAGTTGTGAATTTGCTTGTTGTTCGTTTCAAGTCCGTCGTGATTCCCTTAGTCTTTCGCTATTGTTTCACCTGCTGTCTCTCTAGTTTCTTCTTGTTTGCGTAGCGTAAACACCGCTGCGTGCCTGAGTAACTTGTCTCTATGGAAAACCGAAGAAGTAGTGTAGCACTGTGTTTGAGAACAGTTGGCATTCGACATGGTTTCAAGGTATAAGAGAAATTCGAACTGGACGTCAAGCTGCAAGACCCCTTATACTAACAGTCCTTAATGGGGATTCTAGTCACCCCCTACCTATGAAGGAGCTGTTTAGTTTAAGGGGGAACATCCCAACTACAAGACACTAACCTGCCGCGTCACCTGCAGCTGTGCCTGGAATCGCCGCCAGTTACGTTGGAGCTTCCCAGCAGCTGTCTGGATGTTCACAACCTCCCGGGTTTAGGGTTTAGGGTTTAGGGTTAGGCTTTAGGGTGTAGGGTTTAGCGTTTAGGGTTTAGGGAGCTGTCCCAGTTCGCGATTCGCCACCCCTCGTCCTTATTGACACGAAGCCTGCAGCTTACCTGGAACCTGACAAGAAAACCATGCATGAACCCTAAATCCTAATAAGCGAAACCATGGAATCCTGAGCCATCCAAACCGCAAACCTTCCACCTAGACTTGTTTAGGGTTTAGCGTTTAGGGAACTCTGATTACTAGGCCCTGTACACCCTCATGCACCTGGACAGTGCCTACGCCCTGATCCCAAATCCCTGGACGCAACCACAACATAGAGCCAAAGCCCTGTGACCCGTGAACCCTCAACCAATCCCGATATGCTCAAGCCTCATCAAAATACCACGACCACTCAAAGCAGAAAAGGGCAAGACTTAAACCCCTAAGGCCAAAGCCTAAAGCCAATCAACCCTAAGCCCAGTAGGCCCTACCCAAATGCCAAACCCAAACCCGAAGCCCAACAAAAACACACCCTATGAAAGAACTCTTTTTTCTCCACATGAACTCAATCCTGCAACCTGAACCTTATTGGGAACATTACTTTTCCTTGAAGCGCCATATCTCGCTTCCATGCGCCTGCTTCCGGCCAAAGAGGCCACGAACGCGAGCCTGCCCCAGGGAAAGAGCATGTCGTGACTCTCTACAAAGCGCTGCGAAGCGCTTGGTTAGATTGAAGAGTTAAAGGTGCTCGCGGGCGTTGCATGCTCAGAGTTCGCCCATCTTCCAGCAGGGTCGGGGTTGTGGAGTCCAGAAAACCGTCGACTTCTCATGACACCCAGACTTATCTTATCAGGATGAGGAGCAATCGGGGATGACGATGGTGTTTGTGGATGCGCGGGTACCCACGGCCACGGCAGATTTGTGCAAAACTCACGTTGCGTTTGGGAAGGCCCATAACAACCCGTTATCCCAAACGAAATTATCGCCATCATGTTTGCTCCTGTTTCCGTGACTCCTGCACTAGCTTTGACATGCATTTAAGTCATGTAAGCATCTTCTCTGAAAAAGAATGCAAGGAGACCACGTAAGCCGCGGATATGGCCTGGATCCGATTTGCTGCTGCCAGGCGCTTCGCGAGCCGCTGCCGCTGGAAAATGCCCCGGATGAGAGCCTCCGAGCCAAAGACAGGGAAGATAGAGGAGACTTGCAATCCAAAGTAATGGGAATAAACCGTCGTGCATGCTTGTTGCAGGATTTGACTAGGGCGGAGAAGAAGACCCAAAAGACCAACAAAAACAACAAATCAAGACAACAAAACGGATGGCATGTCCCCTCCCCCCCTTTCCCGGCCCTAAACCCTAAACCCCGAACCCTAAACCCTAAACACAAACCCAAACACGATGATGCTACTGCCAGGGCCTGGATTCTCGCGGCCGACTTATGCCGCATGCGGAGTAGGTTCCGGCCGTGGATGTAGCCACGGATAACCTGAAAAGGGAGTGCTCTCTCTCCCCCCTCTCTCTCTCTCTCGCTCCCTCTCTCTCTCTCTCTCTCTCTCTCCCTCTCTCTCTACTTCGACTCGGCTTTAGAAAAGTGCTGCCCGTCTAATTGATAGTCCCGGAATCTCCGCTCAAAGCCTTTTTTAAATATGTCCGCAGGATGCAGGGGCAGAAATCCATCAGCCACAGACCTCACTTAAGACCTTGACCCCAAACCCTAAACCCTAAACCCTAAACCCTAGCCCCTAAACCCTAGCCCTCGAGGGCCTTCTGGATGGAGACGACGGCCGCCCAGCGTACCTCCAGGCGTCGGCGGTCCGCAAATGCACGCCAGGACGCCTCGAGGCTTGAAACTCGGGTTTTGGTTGGGAATTTTAGGGTTTATTAGGGTTCAGGGTTCAGGGTTTAGGGTTTAGGGTTCAGGGTTTAGGGTTTCGGGTTCAGGGCGTAGGGTGTAGGATTTAGGGTTTCGGGTTTAGGGGTGTAGGGTTTAGGGTTTAGAGTTTTGGTTGCGTTGTTGCCGGAGCTTGGGCCTGCAGGTGCAATCGATGGGGTCTTACTCTTATAGGCATTTAGGGTTTAGGGTTTAGGGTTTATTAGGGTGTAGGGTTTAGGGTTTAGGGTTTAGGGTACGCATTTAGGGCCGAGCCTTTGAAGGACGCATGTTTCGCTTCATGCTTTCAACGCTCCAGAGCAGCGCGAGCGACAAACTAAAAGAATGTAAAAGCAAAAAACACATCATTCTACTGCGAACATCCCCACCCAGCAAGCAAGAGTTTGCGAGCTCACTCTGGGGTTAGGCACTCCAGGGACACTCTGGCGATTCTCTGGAACTCATCTGGGGTTGGGCACTCCGGGAACTTTGTGAGGATACTCTGGGGTTGGGCACTCAGGGATTCTCTGAAAACACTCTGACGTTGGGCACTCCAGGGACTCTCTGACAATATTTAGGGTGGGGCACTGCAGGAACTCTCTGGGACATTCTGGGGTTGGGCACTCCAGAAACTCTCTGAGAATACTCCGGCGAGGAGTAGACCGGACGAGGAGCAGAGTCTAGTTCAAAACCTAACAACCCCACACAAAACCCAAGGGTGGGGGAAAAATGCAAGATGGAGATCCCACCTTCAATACACCAGCCACCGAAACTCTACCCGAAGCTATCAAGCACCGAAGAAGGGTTCACCATTGTAAACTTACCCTAAGGGTCCATGTACCTACATAGTATATGCTTGGGCCTTAAAACGGGTTCCTTTAGAGTAGCTTTAGGGCCCAAGTATAAAAAACCACATAGGTACATGGACCCTTAGTCATGGGTTCCCCTTCCTACCCCCCTCTCTACTACCCCCCCCCCTAAGTTGCCCCCTGAAATAGCCTTAAATAGGCCCAATTCTCCCCAAATAACCTTAAGTATGGGGGGAACCCTGGCGGAAGTAGCCCTAAACCCTAAACCCTAAACCCTAAACCCGAAACCCTAAACCCTAAAACCCTGACTTAGGCTTACCGGAGCTCCTGGAAGCGGGTGGTGCTGGCCAGCTTGCTGCGCGTGCGCCGTCGTGTGAGGATGCCTCTCCAGATGGCCTCGGGTGTGCAGATTCTTGGTTTGCACCCGGGGGTTCCATGGATGTTTCAGGGTTTAGGGTTTTGTTTCTTTTTGGTTTAGGGTTTAGGGTTTAGGGCTTAGGGTTTAGGGTTTAGGGTTTAGGGTTGAGGGTTAAGGGTTTAGGGTTAAGGGCATGTTGGATCTTTCGGACGTTGGAGGGCATCTTGGATCTTTGTGGGGGGGGGGGGGTCTTGGGGCCTCCATCTTGGCATCTTGGGGTGTAGGCTTACGAGGCCACGCGGCAGGGCTTAGGGAACTTGCGGCTGCGGTCGCCAATTCTTTGAGAAGCTTTTGCAAGTGGGGGCATAACGGTGGTAGGATGTGTAGGTTGTGAGGCTTCGGGCGCCTCGTTAGAAATGCAGCCCCGATCCTCTAACCCATGCAACATCAGTCCTACAATCATTCTTATCTAGACATAAGAGACCAGTGCTACTGCACTACACTGCCGCCAAAGCCCTAAGCCTACAGTTCCTGACGCTCGAAGCCCACGTGATGGCCTGGAGTTTGGACGCGCTGTACTGCACCCGATCCTTCTTCTCGCGGGCCCGGTGCTTTCTGAACCAGGCCTCGCGGCTGCGTGCGAGCTGTATGTGCCATCAAGCTAGGTGAATTGCAAGCAATCTGCTCGGCTGTCCCGAAACCCTTCTGCAGTCTACGAAAGCCTCTCCTCTGATCCACTTTACTTCTGAACTGGAGCTCACATGCATCCACCCCGCTGGACCCATATTCCTGGAAAGTACTTGCCCCTATGTTCTCCAATTTCATGCTGCGTGCTTTGCAGCAGCTGGGGATTGGGCCGTCTATGGTTACATGAACTGGTCCATAGAAACGGGGCATGCCCTTGCGGGATGGGCAGATCCCTAAACCCTAAACCCTAAACCCTAAACCCTTTCGGGCTGTTGAAGGCCTTGATGATGGCCGCGTTCTTGCCGCTGCTGCCATGGATGCGCTGCACATCCCACATCATCTTTGTCTTCCTCGGAGGGGGATGAGCAACCAAGCACTCAAACTCAAGTTTCTGGTTTCTCGGCATATCACCCTAGCCTGGAGCTCTAACACTGTTCGCAACAAACCTACATCTACATGTCATTTAGCCTATGACACAGGTGAGGGTGAAGGGCCGGCTCTTGAAGCCATACGTAGAAACATAACCCCAAACTCCTGAAGCCTTGCTGCCCAAAGGCAGTTCCTCCAAAACTCAACCAATTCGCACCCCAACACCCGAAGACCGGAATCTTTCGGACATGGAAAAGTCTGCCCTACTCTTGCACCGAGGGTGCTGGAAGATCAGGGCCGCAGTGGTCTGCTTCTTGATCGCCCTTCAAAGGTTCAATTCGCTGCTTCCCTCTTAGACTATTCGCTGCTTCCTGGCATGAGTAGCTGTTTCCTGGTATTAGAAGCTTCTTGGGCTGCGGTCTTGTCATGTTTTGCAATGCTCTGCATCTTTGGGCATTTTTAACTGCGGAGTTGAGGCTGGACTGAAACCTAAACGCCGAGTGTCACTGGGCTTGGGCAGAAACCTGGTCATGGGCTCAAGTTCCAAAATGTGGGCCTATGCAGGCCTACTGGTTCCCTGCCTGCGGGTCAGTGCACCACGGATGTGGCGCTGCATGAGAGCAACTGCACACGCTTCCTCGGAACTTATCGGGAGCTTTCGAGTGGAAGCTGCTGTGTATAGGAACGCTATGGAACGCTGATTGAGCACTACGCTTTATACTTTCCTGGTGTAGCTGCACTTCATATGCAATTGGCTCGACCGGAGGACGCTACAAAGCCTAGGATTGCACATCGGGAGGGGCAGTTTCTACTGCTGTCATTTCGTTGTTGCCTCCTATAATTAGGCAAGTTTTCAGTCCGATATGGCTACGGAGCAGACCGCCGTGCCCACAGACATTGGCTGCAACAGAAAGAAAACCTGATCCATCTCCAGTGCAAACTGGAACAACTCCTGCACTTCCAGTGACTTTAAACAACATTAAGCCAAGACTTCTAAACTACCGTCTTTTGCTGCAACAGCTGCCCAGGTGCTTGTTGCGATGTCAGAATGTAGGACACATCATCCGCCACTGTATCCGTGGCGAAGTTGTAGAAGTAGCCGTCCACGCCTGGGGACATCACAGGCAACACATGATGATCACAGATGGACGGTGCCCGAGCGGCATGCATGTCATGATGCACTTGGATGAAATACCAAACTCACATCAAGCCTAGATTGTACGACTGTACGACGCTGTAGTCAGCATTGTCGTTTGCCCGGGACTAGTGCTTGAAGGATCTTGCAGGGATGGCTCTTCAGGATTCCTGGAGACGTTGCGATATTTGCACGTGTTTGGGCCACCTCCACCTCCCCCAAACCGGAACAGTTCTCGACCCGCCGCCGAGCACCCCGAAACCCTAAACCCTAAACTTCAGATGAGAGTGATGCAGAAAGTTTCGACTTGGAGTCCTCCGGGACCCCATGCTCATAGGCAACATGAGCAAGAGTTCTTGGTGAGTATCAGTGTACCTCCGTAGCCCCGCACCCCGTACATCAATTCTTGCCATCCGTTTCGGCCGGGCTGGTTTGGAATGGGTCCTTCAGGAACAACGCCCTGTTTCAAAGGATCCAAGGGTCAAGCGAATTTGCATTAACCTTCGTTTCTTATCCTACCGGCGGAGAAGCCACCCATCGTTCCCAGGCGCCTGGAGGCAATCGTGGAGGCTCTCGGCGCTTCAGACACCAGTGGTTCTGTGGGGTCTGCATCAGCGCTGCCTGGAGTAGGATGCTGATTTCTTTGCGTACGTCAGCTCCACTCAGTCTTTGCGTACTCTTCCTTGCTACACAGCAAAGCAAAAATCATTAAACCAGATCTCTTGAGGAGCACTGCTACCTGGTATCGATTGCTCGGGCGCTGCAGCACATGAACTTCCCACAAAGTCTGGTGTATGCTACCCTGGCCATAGGCCTACCGCAGTAGGATTGCTGGCTGCGCTACTACAAACTTTAATCATGTTTGGTGCCAACAATGTTGGCGCACGAACCACGCCGTGCTGCTAGCGGCAGCTACAAGGCAACCTGAACATTGATTTCTTAATGAAACATGTTTCTAGATCACCTACGATGGGACGTTGCACGCGGAATCTGAAAGTCGGTACCCGGACTCCTACCCGAAACCTTTTGCCAACACCACCTGTTTTGGTTCCGTGTCCCGAAACCCTAAAAAATCAAACCCCAAAACCTTGAAACTCCTAAATCCTGGAACCACAAAGCCGTAAACCCCAAAGTCCAAGCAGTCTATAGCCCCCTGAACCCAATCCCCGTTCCCCCGGGGGGGGGGGGGGGGGGGGGGGTGGGAGCAGCAGTGGGGGGGCAGGGAGAAAAAGGGTACCGGCAGGGGATTGCGACAGTGCACCCCTTCTCTAACATTCAGGGTTTAGGGTTTAGGGTTTAGGGTTTAGGGTTTAGGGTTACGCCCGGCCTGGAACGTATCCGTGTGGAACCAGAGCCAGGTGTCGCCGCTGCGGTCACCGTTCTTGTCGGACCTTTTGGGTTGTCTCTTCTGTTTTCGGGGTATAAACCCTAAACCCTAAGCCCTAAACCCTAAACGCTAAACCCTAAACGCTAAACCCTAAACCCGGTACTTCTGGGAGGAAGTTTGATCTTGGGTTCGTGGAGGAGGGATGTGAGGGGGTGCAATGTGTAGGCTGAACTTCCTGGGCAGGTTGAGAGGCTCGGGAGCTCCCAAAAAAGCTGCACTGCACAACTTGAACCCGGGAACCCCAATAGAAACCGATAAGCACCAGCTCGGAAGCATATGCATGAAAAATGACTGAGACACTGATTGTCCCGCGCGAGGAAGCGCCGCCGGTTGGAAAAGCCCACGTTCCTGAGAGGTTTGACATTTGTGGACTTCCGTTTCATAGGAAGTGTGGGGGTCGGGGGGGGTATGTCATGTCGGGGAAAATGCGCCAGTGCCAAGGCTGATGATAGAATATGATATGCGCAAAAAGCTTTGAAGAAGTAGAAGTTGAGAATACATCGCTGGCTACGGGCCCTAGAAGGCACGCCACTGGTGCAAGGCAAAGCCTCATGTTCTGCAATCACAGACCCCCAGCTGCAAAAACGGCCCCCTAAACCCGCAACATCCGGAAAATTCCGACAGTGGGGGGGTACCTTATTGGGGTCCGTATTACAAGGGAATCCCACTATTTGGGGGGGGGGGAGGGGGGGGCTAGGGTTTAGGGTTTAGGGTTTAAGGTTTAGGGTTTGGGGTTTAAGGTTTAGGGTTTAGAGTTTAGGGTTTAAGGTTTGGGGGGGGGGGGGGGGGCTATTTTAGGGGTCCCGCAATTTTCGTAGACCTCCATCTGAAGAACAGCCAAAGCACAGCAGCGGCAGCTGCTCCTCGAAGCGTTTTGTTTCCGGCATGGTCAGGTATCTGCAGCCGGGCACCTGGGTTCAGGTTTAGGGTTTAGGGTTTAGGGTTTAGGGTTTAGGGTTTAGGGTTTAGGGTTTAGGGTTTAGGGTTTAGGGTTTATGGCCCTTCGCAGTCGGCGACGGGGATACAGAGTTCTGCCCCCACCCAAAACGGGGTTGCTGCACCCTGCTGTGCCCCAATAAGGGAGTCGATTAACTATGAAGGGGTAGTGTAGCTGCAAGGGGTACCTCGGAATAACACACCAACCTAAGGCCCGTCGAAGGGTTGAGAAAAATAGTTGAGCCGTGTTTTTTTCTCTAGCATGAATCGATGGACATTATAACCCTTCCGCGGACCCTTCCGCGGCCTTCCGCGGCGTTTTCCGTGTTCCTTCCGCGAGCCTTCCGCGGAAATACGCGTGTCCACCTTCGCGCATATGTACAGTACAGACATACTACGGGCTTGAAAGGCTTGCAGCCCTGTAAGGACTCTACGGGCTGTAAGGGCTCTAAGGGCTCCAAGGCCTCTAAGGGCTCTAGGGCCTCTGAGGGCTCTAAGGCCTCTAAGGGCTTCGAAGGCTCGCAGCCCTGTAAGACTCTACGGGCTGTAAGGGCTCTCAGGGCTCCAAGGCCTCTAAGGGCTCTAAGGGCTCTAGCCTCTGAGGGCTCTAAGGCCTCTAAGGGCTTCAAGGCTCGCAGCCCTGTAAGACTCTACGGGCTGTAAGGGCTCTCAGGGCTCCAAGGCCTCTAAGGACTCTAAGGGCTCTAGGGCCTCTGAGGGCTCTAAGGCCTCTAAGGGCTTCAAGGTTCGCAGCCCTGTAAGACTCTACGGGCTGTAAGGGCTCTCAGGGCTCCAAGGCCTCTAAGGGCTCTAAGGGCTCTAGGGCCTCTGAGGGCTCTAAGGCCTCTAAGGGTTTCGAAGGCTCGCAGCCCTGTAAGGACTCTAGGGCGACTCTAGGGCTGTAAGGGCTCTATGGGCTCCAAGGCCTGTAAGGGCTCTTAGGGCCTCTGAGGGCTCTAAGGCCTCTAAGGGCTCTAAGGCCTCCACGGGCTGTAAAGGCTCTAACGGCTCTAAGGGTCTCGACACCACGCGTGGGCTCTGGGCTTCCAAACCACCCGTCGCCTTCCGCGGAGCTTCCGCAACCCTTCCGCGGACCTTCCGCGGACCTTCCGCGGATTGCCGCGCTCCGAAACTGATTTAAGGCTGGAGGCCCTAAGCCTAGAGCCTGAATTCCTAACCCCTATAAGTCCTAAACTCTAAACCCTAAACCCTGAAACTTGAACCCTATACCCTAAACCCTGAAACCCTAAGTCCTAAAGTCTAACCCTAAACCCGTAAACCTGAAACCTAACCCCTAAACCCGAAAACCTATAAAACCCACGAGTGTTCCGCAGAAGTGATTGCATGATTATAGGTTATCATATATACAGAAAACCCTTCCGCGACCCTTCCGCGGACCCCACGCCTTCCGCGGACCCTTCCGCGACCTTCCGCGCAATCTTGTTCACCTCTTCACCCCTTCCGCGGACAATAATAATGTCCGCTGCAAAGTACCTAGGCTCGAGCGCCTAAAAAAAACGCAGCTGAGTCGGCTGGAGTCTTGCAGTGAAGGCCTGGGAAAAGCCTAAGAAACGCCTCAGAGCGCACACGATCGGTCCCTTACCTCCTTAAAAGGGTGCTGAAGTATGGGCCCTTGTTTTGCATAGGGAATTTCATAAGGGGTGTATAACGTGCGTGCCATGTCATGTAAGGTCTGAGAGTTTGGTCGGCAGAGAGCTGCCTGGGTTCTGAAGATTCATCATTCCATCGGTACTCGAGTAGGCGTGCCAAGGAAGCTTCTAGGTCCTGGGCCGGAAACTCTGAACACGCTAACCAGGACAAAGATCCCTGCAAACCACAAGATCACCCCGTCTATTTACCCGAAGTTTGGGAGCCCCAAGCCGGCTGCAAACCTTCAACCCGCGATCCCCAAAACTTAGACACTGACATCCACCTGATTAGGCACCAAATCCTGCAGTGGAGAATGCTTTCCGTGAACATGCATACACTATATGTAGAAGCGGCCAATTGCCAAAGCGGGAATCGTCAATTGCAAGCAGAACGGGATGGTAGCCTCTACGAATCAAACAAATACACGGGAAAAGGCCACGGAAGGGCCTTGCAAAAGAATTCAAAGGGGTCCTTGCAAGTCCCACAAGCACATGAAACCTAAATCACCCGTGCGAGGCAGCTGAGGAACGGGAAGCGGCCAGTGCTTCCGACCCCGCCGGGACTTGTGGCCTCAGGGTTATTGGGGCCCCAAATAACTAGAATTGGGTTTTGGGGGTTATTATGGTATTCTGATAAACGGACCCTAAGAAAATACTATACTATTAGTAATTATTCCGACCCCTATAGTAGGATCAGGATTTGTTTACAGGGCTGTATTGGGCAGGGTGTGGAGAGCAACTGACGAAAAATGAACGCCGCTTTGCTGTGCAATCCGTACTGCTGCGTGACTCTATAAAGCTGTGCCAAGAGGCTCAACAGAAAGCACGGAGCGCAAAAGTAGTCAGTACACTGCTGGCACCATACCACTGAGTCTGGAAGCCCGCACTCGCCTCGGTCAAAGGAATCGCGTTGTGGTGTTGTGGTGATGGCGGCAGTGGTGTTGGTGTTGAGTATTGTGTTTATAAAGTGGGTTGTCGCTCTTGTTGTCAGTTGTTGGTGTTCGTTTTCTGTTTCGGTTGTTCGTCGGTGGTGGGTTTCGGTTGCTGTTGCTCGTGATCGTGATCGTGCTCGTGCTGCTGTGACGCCGTTGTCGTTGTGGTGGTGTTTGTGCTTCATTCTTGTTGTTGATGCAAGGTTGTAGGGGAGGAGGATTCTGGTGTAGAGCGTTTGTATAGGTTCCTTCAAGAGTGGGTTTGAGGTATTAGAGTGTTGAGGTTTCAGGACTTCCGTCCACCCTTCCGGCCTCGAAGGTTGGGTGGTAAGGCTTTCGAGTGCCAGGGCACATTTCCCCAAGAGCGAAACCGACTCAACATCTCCACCACACGCACCCAAAGCCAAAAAGAGTCTGTTTCGGGCATTCACCGGATGAGCCGCATACCATGGCTGCCCTGAAGGCAGATCCTGTTACCTCGCGTATCCTATACCCCAAAACCCTAAACCCTAAACCCTAAACCTAACCCTAAACACAGTCCCAAACTACGCTGCGCGCCCTCAGAGTCTTTGCCGAGTCGCTGCACTTCATCTTCACAAACCCGCGGAAGTCCCAGAGGAACTCGTTCGCGATGACATCCCCAAGATGCTCTCGAAACCTGGGAGTCGCGATTCAAAGAGCAGAAGCGTTCCTTTCCGTGATCGGAAGGGGGGGTTTGGGGAGGGGTGTGGAGGGAGGGGGGGAAGGGTGTAGAAGCTGGAAGGGCCCTATAAGGGTGTTGCAATGTGGGCGTCGGGCTTTGACACGCATGTCGGGCAGAGACTTGGGTGTGGCGGGACTGGTTTTGTAAAGGTTCCTTGCACCTAGTGATATTCAGCACGAAGTTCAGCCAAAGCAAACACATTCCCCAACGATTCAGCCTCGGCACTTCTTGATCATGGGATGGATCGGCTGAGCTGTGTCATGCTGCAGATTGAGGTACCAACGCGTATCTTCTCGCACCACGGCTTCCCACTCCGATGCCAGCGGGTAGCGCAAGGCAAACATGCCTCGGAGCAAGGCTTAGTCGGGAATGGGGGGATGAGGTACCCTACATACTCCCTGAAAGGGTACATATACGGGGATATGGGGTACCTCATTCCCTGCTAAGAACCAGCCAGCAAAGGGTTGCGGGAGTCCTGGTACAGGTTTGCGAATTTGGTCCCCATGATGGGGATGAAATCGCCGAGGCGCAGTACCAGTAGTGTCCCGGGCTCTTCTGAATTCCGAGCTGCGCTGCCATGTCTTTAACCATCTTTGGGCTGATGATGACCTTTCTCAAGGCAGCTTCGGGGCGGCTTCTCTCTACTGAGATTAACCTCTACAGGCGTTAGAGCTGGAGGTACCTCAAAGAGAAGCCAGCATCAACCCCCCCTGCAAGCCTAAAGATCAAAACCAAACCAAGTTCACATGGAGTGAGACTGAAGTCAGCGAAGCCTTAACTTACTGTCGGTTAGTAGGGAATGAGGGCATGAGGTACCCTACATCCCCCTCTATATACCCTTTAAGGGATCATATAGGGTACCTCATACCCCCATTCCCTACTAACCAACAGCAAGTTAAGGGCTCCCCACCTCAAGCTGCAAAAGCGTGAAGCAAACCCTGAAACCTCAAAGAGAAGGCGGGAGCCTCCTTGCGACTGTCGGGATTCCCGCGACTCCGGAGGAAAATGCGCATCGCGCTGAGCCCTTCGGGTGTGATCATATATTAGGGTTTAGGGTTTCGGGTTGAGGGATACAATACAGCTCTGGGCCTCTGGGGCAATGATTGAGAATTGGGCTTAGGGACTCTCTCTTTGGCTTGCATTGAAAAATGCTGCAGGTTTAAGTCGGGAATCTCTTGGGCTCCCGTTCACTTCGAGTTTAACGCTTCTAGCGTAGGGAGCATCGTTGCATCCTTTGTGGGCCGAAGGTCCTGGTCTGGTTTGGAGTGCTTTGGGTCAGTTGGTTTGTCATGGGGATTCAGGAAAGGCACTGGAGGATTGCTAGCTTCAAACTTGAGGGCTTTGATTTTGAGCTTTGAGGTCTATAAATGCCTTCGTTGAAGTGGCGTGATTCTCAACGGCCTTCAGGAATGTGGAATTTTGTGGCCTTTGAGTCTTTGAGGCGCGAACCGAGCTTGAGAGAAGCAAACCGCCACCCCGTGCATGTAGCATCTGCTAGAGCCGTACAACTCCCTGATCTCTCGGAGTCTCTCGGTGCCCTGCCTTTGAGTCGATATGCCCGCAAGTCGGCGTCAAGAACATCGGGCCCCGTTGTGCGCTCGCGAGCTAGTTTCCTGAGGAGCGCAACGCACGTGAGGCCCGAGGACTAAGGGGAGGCCAAAGGGCGAATGCGTTTGAAGCTCTTCTCAAGAGGCAGGCCATAGGTTAGCGGCGAAAGTTTTCTGGATTTGGGCGTGGTGTGGACTTTAAAATGCCCCCATCTAGTAGAAGCCCGCCCGTCTGGCGGCAACAGAAATTCTCAGTGGTGCTACTTGGGCAACTGACTCACGTCTACCCGAAGGCCATGGACCTAAAACCCGGATCCGAGCCATTGATTCCTTTAGCTTCAAGATGTGTTGACTGACATGCTTTCGGTGGGCACGTGTAGAGACCATTTCAATTCATCTATCCGGATCACCTTTTGTTTAGACAACATACCTCCACGAGAAGTTGCTCCACAGCAGCTCTGCAAAAAAAACACCTACTTCATGTGATGGATTCAGGAGCAATGCGGTTGCAATCGAAGGACACAAAAGCCTAGTGCAAGAACAAAAAACGTCTGCAAACCCGAGACCTAAACCCACAGTGGCAGGACCAGCGTCAGCTCGTCTAGCTTCACCTCGGACGAACCGGTTGATGGTCCGTAAACCCTAAACCCTAAACCCTAAACCCTAAACCCTAAACCCTAAACCCTAAAAGGACTTTTGCTACGTTACCGCTGTGTCGGTGTTGCTTGCCCAGGTCTTGGGGCAGTTCAACACTCACCACCAAGACAAAGGCAAACAAGCTCAGTGCCCAAGCAAATGCAGGAGTCCATCTTTCAAGACCCCCTGGTTCTTAGTAGGGAATGAGGGAATTAGGGCCCTAGATATATCCTACCCTTTAAGGGACTGTATAGGGTACCTCATTCCCTCGTTCCCTACTAAGGACCTGAATCGCTCCCCCAAGTCGCATAAAGGTTGTCGCCATCCTCCAGGCCCGCCTTAGTCAGGTTTAGGGTTTAGGGCTTCCCTGGTCGTTGCGAGGTGACCAAAGGAGGGGCACACTGTTGCGGGCCAACCCGATTTCCGCAACGCTGTTCTGTGTGCTCCAACTCATGAGTTCTAGACTCCCTAGATCTCCCTGGACTGGGACACAAATCCGGAAAAAAAACACCCCCATCAGCTCTGAGGCGAAATCCGAAACAACTTGTGCGCACAATACGTGAAGACGAAAGCATCGAGAAAAAGAAACGTAGCTATCGCTACTTCCAGCTTTACCTGATATTGATGCAGGTGCCTCCATCATGAGGTTGTTCTCCAGCTCGATCGCCTTCCCGGCTTCTGTTGGACCAGCCTGATTCAAGACTTGGGAATGTAGCCTCTGGACGGAAGGCCGGCCAAAGAGAAGAGCGCTTCAGTACCCGGCCGAGTTATTCCAGATTGATCGTAGTGAATCTTGCACCTATTGGTTTCCAAATACCACATCTGGGGGTAGCTCTCTTGTCGTGCTGACTGGTAGACCGGTGCTGAAGCAGGATTTAAACTGGCTTCAGGCTCGCAACTTTGGGGGATGAAGTGGTCAGAAGTGCCTAGAATCAACTTGCAACCATTGAAACGTTGTACCTGCCACAAAAACACAATGGCTCTCTAGCTCTGAAAGCCGAGAACCCTCAGCCCAGGACCTACATGGGTATTTCCAAAAAGAGGGCGTACCCTTGATGTACCCCTAAAATAGTATATTCCTGATCATAGGAACCCCCAAAAGGGTACACCGTACACCGATTCTCGCACTCCCCCACATTGAATAAACTGAGAAAACCGAGGCCCTAGCCCCTAAACCCTAAACCCTAAACCCTAAACCCTAGGCCTCTTCGTCCTCAGAGATGGCCAGGTCGTCGGGAGCTTCGGCCTTCGGGGCGCATCGATATCTCTAAAGGTTCTTTAGGGTTTAGGGTTTAGGGTTTAGGGTTGCTTCAAGGCTTCGCTTGGGAACATCAAGGGGCTTCTACCTACAGCCCCTTCTCTTCCCTTCAAGCTGGGACAAGAAGCCGGTCCTTCAGGTGTGTGCTGTGTGATGTGGGCTTTCAGGGGTCATGTCTTGGGCTGTTGCCCTAAACCCTAAACCCTAAACCCCAAACCCTAAACTCGAAACCCTAAACCCTAAACCCTAAACCCCTAAACCCTAAACCCTAAACCCTAAACCCTTAGGGGCCACGGATCCCTTCGAAGCCGCCTCCGCATGCAGGGCCAGGTAGGGCTTGATCCACTCCGGGACCTTGCCCAAAGCCAGGGCCTTGCAGAGGCGGGTTTAGGGTTTAGGGTTTAGGGTTTAGGGTTTAGGCCCCCAAGTTTGCAGCTTTTGGTTCCAAGACTTGCACGGCCCTGCAAGCAAACACATGCCAGGCACATGTTTTCAGGACTCGGCCAATGTTTTCTGAGGGTTTAGGGTTTAGGGTTTAGGGTTTAGGGTTTAGGGTTTAGGGTTTAGGGTTTAGGGTTTAGGGTTTAGGGCCCCAAGGTTTTTTGAGGACGGCCTCGCATACATTGCCTTGCTCAACATCAACAAGATGATTGTTTTCAATTTCTTGCACGGGGTTCATCCGAAAACCATGAGTCTGAGGAAGTCGCCTAGAAAACGATGACGGAGATTAGCATGCTCATAGGCTTTGGATTCTATTGCTCTTGACCAATGCATTCCGAAGCAAATGTTAATATCATCCTCTCATGCTGTTGGGGGCCGCCAGCACACAATCACACAATCATACAGGTGAATATCAATTGAGAAACAGAAAGTCCCACAAATGCTAATCGTACCCACAAAAATTTGCCACAACTGAGTATACATACCATAGCAATCCTGGAAGGTCGTCTCGGGGAAGCTGCGCAAGCGCAGTGTGTAGCGAAACCTGGGCAATGCAGTGATGTAGGGCTGAAAGCCGCTTGAGAGTGCAGCCCTAAGCCCTGAACCCTAAACCCTAAACCAAACCCTAAACCCTAAACCCCGCTGCACAGAAGCTGTACTTTCCTCGCACGGCAAGGCCAGAAAACCTTCAGAACCTGAAGGGTCCGTAACCGTGCACACTCCTTAAGAGGGCAGAGGAGCTCGACGTCCTCCAACTCAGCCTCTGGGTTGATGGAGTGTTGCGCATACCTGATGCTTAGGGTTTAGGGTTTAGGGTTTAGGGCTTAGGGCTTAGGGTTTAGGGTTTAGGGTTTACGGTTTAAGGGTAATACAGTCCAAGGTGTCGGGTTCAGCGCACGGATATGAAAGATACTTGAAAGATGTATGACTTGGGATTGTGAGGTTTGGGGTGGCTGGGACTGAGATCCAGAAACCCATGCTTGAATATCAGCTCGACAAGCTAAGGGTAGGATAGGTCAGGGTTCAGGTTGGGTAAGACACAAACCCATCGCAGCATCCTACAGCACCCAAGCATTCTGGCCGCGCCCTTCGAGTCCCCAACGCACGCCCTAAACCCTAAACCCTAAACCCTAAACCCTAAACCCTAAACCCTAAACCCTAAACCCCGAACCCTAAACCCTAAACCCTTTGAAACAATGCCCAGCAGCCAGCCATGGAAGGGGTTCACTGGCTCTCCCGGGTTCGCGGCCACCACCCGGCTGATGTCAGGGAACCCCCAGGCATCTGGGTGGGCCATCATCACCTCAGAGGATTTAGGGTTTAGGGTTTAGGGTTTAGGGTTTAGGGTTTAGGGTTTAGGGTTTGGGATTTGGGGTTTAGGGTTAGCGGCTTTTTGCAGTGTGCCGTTAAGCAGTTAGTATCAGGACCCGAGGTCGCCGTTGTGTCATTTGGTGCAGGGCGAGAGAGCTCAGAAGTCAAAGGGGCATGCGGAGCTAGAATCCGGCGGGTCCTTGTTCTTGCAATTGCTATGAGCCTTGCTTAGGCCGCTCAAAGAAACCAGGCAGAAGGAATCCGAACTGGCCTCCATGCCCACCATCCAAGTCCACAGCCCTCTTTCCACACAGTTTCTACACGGTCGGGGCCGTAGAAGACAGAAAAGTTCTTGGCTCAATATGGTTTACGGCCATCCAACGCCATCCTGAAAACATCCTGGAACAAATCTTGGCTGGTTGTCCGAGGAACGTCCGTGAAATCCATTCGCATGTAGAAGAGGTGAGCCTTTTTTCGCTGAAGCTCGAACCAGACCACGCCATTCACATCCTTGACCTTACTTGGCTTCTGGCTGGGAAAGTCCTGGGTGTTAGGCTATGGGGCCTTAGAGCCCTGCGCAGCCTATAAACCCTATAAACCCCAGAAACCCTGTAAACCCTTTAAACCCTCTAAACCCAATAAGCCCCAGAAATCCCTATGAACCCTAAACCCTATAAACCCCAAAACCCTAAACTTTCTGCGAGGGTCCCCACTCTGACTCCTCCAGCTCAAAGGGACATGAAGCTTTTGGAACACTATAAACCCCATAAAACCTATAAACCCTATAAACCCTAAACCCCAAAATTTCTGGGAGGATCCTTACTCTGACTTGGGTTTAGGGTTTAGGATTTAGGGTTTAGGGTTTAGGGTTTAGGGTTTCTCAGCTCAAGGGACATGAAGCTTCTGGAACTGCTCTTTGGCTTCCTTGTCACGGAGGTAGAGTTGGCTGAGGATGCAGGAGTTGCAGCCCACCTGGATCGTTGGGCCCCTGATCCCTGGGCTTGGGGTTTAGGGTTTAGGGTTTAGGGTTTAGGGTTTAGGGTTTAGGGTTTAGGGTTTAGGGTTTAGGGTTTAGGGTTTAGGGTTTAGGGTTTAGGGTTTAGGGCACAAAGAATATCACTTGAGTTGCATTCTCACATGCCGGCACAACTCTGACAACCTCCAGACCCAAGGCCGGAATATCAACAATGCCACAACGTCATAGAACCTTTTCATAAACGCAACGCCGGTTCCAGAACACCAAGCTGTCAACAACTCAAGCCCTTCTATGCCCACCTTGAAAGACTCGTTGACCATGTCGTTAAAGCCAGGTCTAAACATTTGTTTCCACTTGGCACCGGTCTCGTTGGCACGCTGCAGGGCAAAGCGCATGATCCTTGGGCGGTTCATTGCTCTGCGCCATCGTGGCCTAAACCCTAAACCCTAAACCCTAAACCCTAAACCCTAAACCCTAAACCCTAAACCCTAAACCCTAAACCCTAAACGCTGATTACGCTGGTTACCCTGGACCACACAGTGGGAGAAGTGTTCCGGGTCAACACAAGACAAAACCCCGGCAACCTCCTAAATCTAAACCCTAAACCCTAAACCCTAAGCCCTAAACCCTAAACCCAGTATATCACAATATCACAAGCTTGCCCGGGTGTTTCAGAGCTGGTGCTGAAGGGAGCTGGGGTTGGCATGATATTTGTCGTCTGCATTTCAGGCTTCTGTGACACCTAAGTTTGAGTGCGGTCCAGCTGTGGGCATCTCCAGGGGAACCACATTTCCTGCAGGAACGAAACTTCTGCACTCCCTTTGAAGCCATCTTGAACCACCGAAGACACATAATGCCCGAGGGTCCCGGGATCAATGCCGGCGGCCACGCGGAGTGTCGTATGCCGGGCCCGCAGATCCGTCTTGTAAGGTTGCTGCTTCAGCCTCAGCTTTTGAAACTCAACCATGGTGCTGACGACTTACGACTTCTAGATGAAGTGTCAAAAGGCTACTAATTCTAGCAGACTGCCCGATCATTGTGGCAAGCACTCGGCATTTTCAGGTAGCTTTGGCCACCCCCCCCCCCTCCCCACCTTGCACAGCTAAAAGGATTTTCATCAAAAGAATAACAGCGGCTCGGCGGCATGCAGCACTGTCAGGGTGGAAAGGCATGACAATGTCGCCGCAAGGACTAACGCAAGACCCCGCACAATGAACACACACACACACGTACGAGTAGTACTACATATATATATATATATATATAGACACACACACACACTTTTCACATTCTACTACCAAACATCGAATAAGGATGTATAGATACCCGCAGGGATGTGGCTCAGGAAACGATCCCGTCAGGACAGCGAAACGCGGCCGCTTTCGTGATCCTTTCCCATAAGTACTTATGCCACTACATGTTGCGCTCGTTTGCAGCGGCCGGAACAGCGGTCCTGGCACAAGTCGCAGCTGAAAACCTATTGATCATGGTGGCAGATGTTGAAAAGCAGTAAGCAAGCAAGAGTCATGATGAGTGCCAAGCAGCTCCCAGGCCACGCGTGCATGGGTGTCTACTACGTCCATGAGCTGCGTGATTCCACGGAGCTGCTCTTGCCGCATGTGGTGCACGGGCTGCTTGCCTGGGCCCAGGTTGGCGATTTGCAGTACATCGCTGTTCCATCAACGTTGCTTGAAGAGGTTTGTTAGCAGCGAGGAATTCATAACAAAGCCCCGAAACCCTAAACCCTAAACCCTAAACCCTAAACCCTGAACCCTGAACCCTTTAAAAGTGCCGGCGCGACTGCTCTTTGGAACCAAGCGACGCACAAAGTCTCGCTCGGGCCGTGAGGCGGCCATGGTGGCCGGCGTGGAGCTGCGCGAGTACGTGATCACGCCGCCTTTGATGTCCATGATGTCCTTCCACACCCGTTTAGGGTTTAGGGTTTAGGGTTTAGGGTTTAGGGTAACAACCCGGGCCACGACATCTGAGGTGCGATCTAAGAAGCTACCAAGAATTGAAACCCCAGCGCGCTGACTGGACACACGATTACAGATGGACACTGTCCACTGATGAACGCTGTCCACCTTCAAAACCTTTTCTGGGCCCAATGTCAACATTATCGCAAATTGTCAGCTTGAAGCTCACTTTCCGATGTCCCTCTCTCTCTGTCTCTGCGTCCCATGATGTGTCCTCCTTGGCCTTCAGCTCAGCTTCCACCTGCCACCGGGCAGCCACGATGTCGTCTTCCGGTGGTGCCGGCTCCTCCACGCAATGGAAGGTGTACAGGGACAAAGTCATAGCTTGCAAAGCATCTCAACATGGTGCATCTTCGATGTGTGTGGGCTCTGGCAAGAAAGTAGCATGATAAGGGCACAGCCCACGCCATCGCTTTCAGCTCTCGCAAACCTGGATCTTACTCGAGAAGTACATCCTGAGTCAGAGCCAGGAACCCATGAGCACGGATCTTGGCAAGCCCAATAGAAAAGAGCAAGTCACAGTGATCAATGAAACCTTCATGTAAACCATTGGTAACTGGTAGAAGCCCTAAGCCCCAGGTTTGTAGACCCTGTCCTCGGGAGCCGGATCTGGCACGGGGGGCATCTCTCGCAGCATCCGCGACTTCGTGACCTTCCAGAGCACACCAGCTCGATTTCTAGAGTTCAGACATCCCAATACCCCAGAAGACACAAAATGCCGCAACACTCGAAGCACTGGGATGTCCCCCTAATACTAACAGTCCTGAATGGGGATAATAGTACGAGCCCTAAATATCATTAAGGAGCTGCTAGTATAAGGGGGAACATCCCAACTCTTCGGGCTTAAAAAGAAGAAACTGCATAATAAAGTACCCCCCCCCCCTAAACAGAGCCCCTATTAAGGAGCTCTTTAGTATAAGAGGGGGGACCCTTGGGGATACAGACCCTCTGAGTAAGGTCCCTGTTTAAGAGAGCCAGAAGAGGGTTAAGAAGGGTTCCCTTTTCAGGGTCCCCCTTATCCTACCTGGGAGTGAATTCATGGCCTCGAAAGCCGTCACCTGCGGCGGGCGTGCTTCGATGGCCGGATACTCGGAGATGCCTCGGAGAGGCTTCGGCTGGGGTTGAGGGAGCTTAGGGAGCTCGGGCCATTGTGAACCAGCCCTGAATGCCCCTAAACCCGAAACCCGAAACCCGAAACCCGAAACCCTAAACCCTAAACCCTAAACCCCTAAACCCTAAACCCTAAACCCTAAACCCGAAACCCCTAAACCCTAAACCGTCTGAGCCATGCCCTGGAATCCTTGGCCTGGGTAGACCAGCTCCGGCAGCTCCGTGTCCTGCTTGGGCTCTTTGCCTGGAACAACGTGGAAACTCTGAGGGGTTTAGGGTTTAGGGGTTTAGGGTTTAGGGTTTCGGGTTGAGAGGTAAGACATAGTTGGGAGAAGCGGACGTGCTTTGTTTCGACGTACCTTATTACGGCCTGTAAAGGTGCGACTTTCAGCCTAAGAAACAAGCCACAAGGAGCTTTGGAAATGGCAACTCCCTGTCAGATGGGGGGAAAACTCAGAGAGCTCCAGGATCTTATCTTCCCACCCGACTTGGCTATTTCGCAAAATAGGGGTGCCCCTTTCCCTAAACCCTAAACCCTAAACCCTAAACCCTAAACCCTAAACCCTAAACCCTAAACCCTAAATAGAATTGAATCCCCTGAAAGGGACCCCCCCAAAAAGGGTATCCCCTACTTTCGAAAAACCGTTTAGGGCTTGGATCGACGGGGAGACCGGCCCAGTATCCGCTGAAGGACACCCCCACCGTATATATATATATATATATTATATAATGATAATATAATAATAATATAATATAGTATAGTATAATATAATATAATATAATATAATATATTATAATATAATATAATATAGTATCAAAATATTATACTATATTATATTATATTATATTACATTATATTTTATTATATATAACATGCTCACCAATAGTTGTAAGCTGTAAGGAATCAAAATACACCCACCAATAAAGATTGACCTTAGGGCCTTAGGTACCAAAAAGATGGGGCAAACCTCACTGGACTGTGTACTCCATCTTCAGCCTCTGATCTTCTATGTCCCTTACACGTCGCTTTCTTGTGGCGCAGGCCCTCACACACCCAACCGCGGATAGTATCTCCTTGACTCGAACACAAAACTCGCGGCGCTTCCCTCAGCAGGTATGCTGCAAAGACCCAAGTGCTGCCATCCCGAATAACCTGCCCAACAACCGCAACACGGCATCCCAAATCCTCTCCAGCTTGCGATCATCCCCACACGATCCTTCAAGAGAGCTAAACGCCGGCCTTTCTTGGACGAGTCCTTCATCTCATCATAATAGAGCTGTGCCTCCAAACGCAATACGGTTCGGGGTTCTGAGAACTGTGGTAGTTCCGGGGAGTGACAGTCGGTGCATCACAAGGCCGTGGCCTGAACAAAGGATTCAGCAAGGGTCAGGCCTGCGTCACTCCATGCGTGACAGATCCCTGATCTTACAAGACCTAAGATCTTACAAGGCCCCTCTCACAACCTCGCAAGGGCCCCCGCCAGTCCCTGAATGGTCTGATGGTGGGGCTCCTATGGTTTCCAGAATCCGACCACTCCCAAGTAAACTTGCAGGCGCCCATACCCTGCATGCGAATGTAAACATTTCGTGGGGCATCCTTCAAAGTAAAGTGAGTCGCCTTGAGTCTGAAGGGGTCACCGCTCACAGGAGGCACAACAGTCTCCAACTTGGTTTGAGTAGGCTTTTCGGGATCTGAGGTCAATGTGCAAGGGGAAGGAATCCTCGTTTGAGGGGGCAAGCTCCATGAGTAGACCCAGGAGGTCTTTGCGCGCACCTCTCCTTGCAGCCATCGCCCTGAATTCGGTTCTCGTGCCGACTACTGCCTGGACACCCCCCCCCCTCCCCCCCCCCTCCCCCCCCCTCCCCCCCCCCTCCCCCCCCCTCCCCCCCCCCCCCCCCCCGCCCCCCAAAGCCTGCTGCTCCACTAGCGGTGCCGGCAGCGGGCCAGCTGGGATCGCTCTGGTGGCCGGTGGGCCAGTCTGCTCCTCCGCCTGCTTGAGAAAGCATGTGTGAGGCTACTGCCCTAGCATGAGTACAAAGCCTCCGCCCGAATAAATCGCGATAAGCCCTGCTGAAATGCGGGAAGCTAAGCATACCCCCTAAACCCGAAACCCTAAACCCTCTGGGGAGCTCAGTGCTCGAATCTTTCAGCCTGTGGTCGAACTTGGTGCTTTGCAGCTGAGGGAACTGCGGCTAGCATAAAACAAACAGAGTTTGGGTTGGGATGTTCTGCCGTATACTAGCAATCCTTTAGAGGTGAAAGGAACCCCCTACGATAGTCTTTATTCAGGACTGTTAGTAGAAGGGAGAACATCTCAAACTTTGGGATTCATCTATTTCTGCCTTTCAAAAGGGCTAGCGCAGTGCCGACCTCCTCGTCACCATCTTGCTGCTCCTGGTTTTCGAAGTCCCTCATCATCTCTTGGTACTCCCCGACCGAGACTGTATAATTCCTGAGCTGACTATAGGTGTGTCTTAGAGGTTCGTGTAGCCTTCCTGGGTCAAGCAAGAAGATGTTAGAGGCAGCTGAACGCAGTGGCTTCATGGTTTCATGGTGCAGGGCATACTCTGTCAGACACTCAAGGATGCTTTGAGAACCAGGCTACCCTATACCGCCTATACGGTATGACACTTTACTAAACTCCAGAAGTAGATGCAGGTCCGGAAGTCTTGAAGGTGCAATAAGAGTCAGTCATACGTGAACGGAGGCGTTTATTCCTTGAAAAATCTTTTGGAATTGCTTCTGCCAGTGGGCTTCCGCGGAGCCTCCGCGCGAAGACAATTTCTCCATTCACCAGGGGACTTGGCTTCCGCGAACCCTTCGGCGGAGCTATTTTCAGCTTTTGCTTCCGCGGTGCTCCCGCGAAAGGGTCGCGTTGGGCGGGGGAGGCACCCTCTCCTTGCCTGTTGTGCGTTGCATATTTGTCTGCAAGGGTCGCGACAACAGCTTCCGCAAAGAGCTTCCTGACAACCAACTGCTGCTGCAAACCTTTCGCGAGCTGTGCCTGGCCTCTTGCTCGCAACCTGTCCGTACTTTTTCTGCCGCGTTCATAAGTACCGGAACATAGCCGCCACAAAAATAAAACGTGGGCTCCCCTTGGGAGACAGCAGCTCACGGCGGGGGCATGTGCTGCAGCAGAGCTGGGTTTCAGTGCAACCTCTGTAGTCATTGTTTGGACAGGGCAACTAAGCTCCGGATATGGGCCGGTTGTCATGCATGTCCAAGCTACGTAGTGTGTTACGAGGTAGTTACATGTAATCGTTACTTTTGCAGGACACGACCCTTGGCATCATCTCTGCGAAGCTAGCGGGCTTAAGTGGGCATCCTGAGGCAATCAGAAGGAAACAAAGCGGACGGAAACAGAGACAGTCACACCACTACTGTCTAAGTTCCGTACCACACTGCATCACCACATCACCCTCTACCCGAGACTCCATGCAGAGGCATCTCCAGGAAAATGTTTGAGGGGGGTGTCTATTTCTGGTCATGCAGTCTTCGTATTGGGCTGCTTGATTTTTCTGTGTGGAGATGGGTGAGGGCGGCGGTTAGATGGGAAGCGATTGAAGTAAGCGTTCAGGCTTTCTAGGCTTCTTCCATTTGCCATGGTAGTGGAGAATTTGACAGTCTAGCTCCATGTGCCAGCCTGCCAGCGCAGCGCTCTCATTTTCAACCCCTCCAGTATCATTTTCCACAGCGCTCGCTGTTTGAAGAGGTCGGTTGTTAGGGTTCGTCGAGAGAGGAATGTCAAGAAGGCGGTTCAAGACAGAGGGGCCCAGGGGAATTGGGGAATTCAGGATTAGGGGCTAGGCTGGATGATGGCTGAAGAGTGCTCTACACATAATATGCAAATGCCATCCGAGAGAAGATGCGACACTGCCCAAAGCTCTACACAAGTTCCACTTGTCGTGCAAACGCGGGTGCTGGCTGAATGAGTGCGGTGGCCCACGGAAACGACACAGGACGTTCGGAACAGCAAATGTGCGAAACGATGAGACAACAGGATCCGCAAGCCTAAGGCCCGAATACAAGACATCGGAGTTGCCCATAACGGGAAATACATCTTCAAGCGTTCAACTTGGGATGTTCCCCCTTATACGAACAGTCTTTCATAGGGATCATAGTACTCCTAAACCCTAAACCCTAAACCCTAAACCCTGTTAGTATAAGGGGGGCACATCCCCAAGTTCAACCATCAAGGCCGAGGGTCTTCGGAAAGTAGCCGAGGGTTTCGGGCACGCCCTTGAGGTGACCGAGGGCCCACTCAGAGCCATCATCATGGACGATCCTGGGTGCCCCGGAACCGTGAACCCTAAACCCGAAACCCTAAACCCTGAACCCTAAACCCTGAACCCTAAACCCTGGGCCCTAAACCCGAAACATCTAGAATCAGGAACCCTGCCCAAGTCAGAGGCTTATCGTCGGAAGCTTAGTCTATGTCATACTCAGCTTGAGGCCTTGTCGACTGGATCGGAGAATCTTCGGGCCAGGCTAGGGTCAGGCATCAGCGTCTATCCAATTCTATCCTAACCAGCTGGCACAGATGATGATTCTCCGCCTCACTTCCCCGACCCGCCCAAAATATGGTAAACAAGGTCGTCTCAGGACAGTCGCAAAACAAAGGCGAGCCCGACAAGCCCTAAACCCTCAACCCTAAACCCTAAACCAGTTGCTTCTTGCCCTGGGCCCCATGAGCTGCAACTCTGCAGCTTTGAACCCTAGAGAGTAGGACGGACACGCATGACATGCACAACAGCAGATGAGGAAAACCCTGCAAGGACCAAGAGGTCCCCCATGCGCCCCAAATGCCCCGAACCCAGCTGAGACCATCTTAAAACAGCTTGCACTTCATGAGCTTCTTACCATATTCTTGTCGGCCAAGGTGCTCTACAACCTGTCCAGTGCTCAGGGCCAGGGGCTTCTGGCGGTTGAAGGGCCAGTCGATCTTCAGGGGATCGAAGTCCTTTGCTGAGTGCGTTCCAGGCTTGATGAAAGTGCGAGAAGCCCTGCCGTGCTTTGGGCTTCAGACTCGTGAGCATTTTGCATTTCTGGCCCATGAGCAGAGGAGTGCAATGCCAAAGCGCTGCAAGATTGCAACATGGACGCGGGCATAGCCGCCAGACAACGCCAGACAGTTTCCGGGCTTGAAGCAGAGGGTGAACTCCTACTCAAGTAACGCACAAGAACCGAGCCAAAATGAATCATCTTCTTGCACAGATGGCTGCAGAGGCGTATATGAAGTTGAAGACTCAGGAAGCAATGCTTCAAAGAGATACAAAGATGAATCATGCTATCATGACCCCTTTTCTGTTGCTTAAGTTAGGAAGGAACCCAGAACCCAACAAGGGTACAAGCGCATCACTGGGCTTTCCAGGCCCTCGACATTCACAGTCCCTGCACCCAATCAAAATAGCAAGACGGCTCTCTCGTGGAATGTGCCGCGACGCAGGAGAAAATGCACGTGCTCAGAGGTACTTCTAGATCTGATTCACTGCTAGGGTTAGGTTGAGGACCTTCTGTTCTGAATCCTGTTAGGCCCCCCCCTCGCCCGCACCCCAGCGCAAGCAAGGCTCATACAAGGCGACCACCTTGGTTTGATCCGCGATTTTCGATGGATCATCGTCGTCCTTGTTTTCCATCGCGGGGCCTCCGAGGTGGAGCGGCTAACAACTCCAAAGGCTGCTGTGCTGTTCTGCTGGGCGATTATACGTAACACCTCCCCTCCAGCTTATGCAAAAAAAAGTGAGGGGTGGTGTCTAAGTTAGAGTGATCCTTGCCCATTTAGCTGTCTGGCACCACCCACCCACCCCGCCTAGGATCATCTATCTTAAGATCTCAACTTCAGGTACCACCCTAGCATATCCACCCGAAGATCTCAACCTAAGTCATCAGGGTTTAGGGTTCAGGGTTTAGGGTTGAAAAAGTAATGTTTCCAACCATCTGAGTGTCATACTCCTAAAATAGGCAAGGAGTTAGGTTTAGGGTTAAGGGAACAGCACATGCCTCATCTTCTTGGAATCTTCCATCATGTTGTAGCTACAATGTAAACATGATACATAACTGCTTCTGTATTCTATTTACATTGTCATATTATTTTGTGGTGCTGTTCAGCAACTGAATATTATTTTGGACTGATGAGATGATCAAACTCTGCTTAAATCTCCTGAATGCGTTTGTTGTTCCAGTTCCTTGCGTGTTCAGGGTCTTCTTCTAAATACTTAGCATCATTATTGTCGTCTGAGTTACAATTTTCAAGGTCAGGTAAGCAGTTTAACCCATCTGTGCTTCAGTAGAAGCCACGGCCGCTGGATTCCTTTGTGTTTGTCACTGGTTTACCTCTTTTTAGATGTTTCAAGCGATTCTAGCGAAGCCGTGCAACACCTTTTAAGCTTGGTATCTTGTATTCCAACTTTTCAATTTCTTCAATCTCCTGTATCGTTCTAAAACATTGTCCATTCTATTCACAGAAAATCTCCTCTGATTAAGTACTGATCACAGAAATACATAAAGTGGAACTTACAGACATACCAATGCAAAACAGCAAATGTGAAGCCACCCGCGCGGACCCCTCGGGGGTGACCTTGAATGACGGCGTTTGCTGCAACCCTTCGTCACAACACCGCAAAGCTTACAGAACAACCAAGAACAAGAATGACGCACGTTTGACACATTTCGCCTGCCCGCGGGGGGGGCAAAGGCGCCCCCCCGAACCCGCGGTGCGACAGGCTCGAGCACCAACGGCAGCGGAATGAGGCTTGGGAATTACCCTCTAAACCCTAAACCCTAAACCCTAAACCCTAAACCCTAAACCCTAAACCTTAAATCCTAAACCTGACTGAGTGGGGCTCTGAGTCAGTTGCAGGGCAAGGAGAAACTGAGCACCATGCAGCTCTGCGGCTGCTTACCAGGACGGGCTTTTAGGGTTTAGGGTTTAGGGTTTAGGGTTTCGGGTTTAGGGTTTAGGTTCTTTTTTTGGGTTTAGGGTTTAGGATGAGGGTTTAGGGTTTAGGATTTGGGGTTTAGGGTTTAGGGTTTAGTATACCCTATACTCCCTTAAGAGGCCCTTTATTAGTGTACCCGATAATCCCTTAAGAGGCCCTTTATTGGTACCTTCTTTAGTATACCCTATGATCCCTTAAGAGGCCCCTTATTGGTATACCCTATACTCCCTTAAGAGGCCCTTTCTTAGTATACCCTATAATCCCTTAAAAGGCCCTTTATTATTATACCCTATAATCCCGTAAGAGGCCCTTTATAGGGTTCATTATGGGGATTTAAGGGAGCCAACGGTGTCGAGGAACTTGCGGAGACTCTGGCTGCAACTGTCTCGAAGGTAGGTGAAGCTGGAACCCCACTGTATCAGCCTTGATGCGCCATGCCAGCCCCATGCTGGCTACGCAAAGGCCCTAAACCCTAAACCCTAAACCCTAAACCCTAAACCCTAAACCCTAAACACTAAACCCTAAACCCTAAACCTCCACTCCTCCAGACTACCCTCAAGACCGGCCCTCGGAGCCGACCTGAGTACCCCGCAAGCAGTATGCGCCAATTCATGAAACTGTTCAAAGCCCTGCACACCCTAAACCCTAAACCCTAAACCCTAAACCCTAAACCCTAAACGTTATAAACCCTGAATTTGAACCCAAACCACCATCTTGACTTTAAGTATCTGTATCGCCACGACGGAGGTAGGGGCACCTGTGGCCAGGCATCGTCATTGAGGTCGAGCCCGATCTTGCGAAAGATCCTTGGCAGCTTGCAGCTTGAGGGTTAACTTTAGGGTATTACTACTATTTGCTTAAGAACCCCAAAAGAATTAAAAATGATCATCCCTATATTACCGCATAATAAGGACAAATCGTTTTGTGTTTTCGGGGTTCTTAAGCAACTCGTAGATTACACTGTAATTATGCTGGCATAGACGGTTTGAGTTCCGATATAGCGCCAACGGTAGAATTTGAACGAACGGCCTTCCTCTCATTAAGCTCCGGAGCGTCTACAGTGCCCTCAGAGACCAACTCAGGTGCAAGGCCTTCGATTTTCTCTCCCTCCCTGCGCAGGACATTCAGAACCGGCTCTCCATCAAAGAGAGGGTGACTTCGGTAAGAAAGCACGGGGATACAGCAGGCAACCAACCTTAACTCGACAAAACCTCTGAAGCCCAGAATGTCAGCCTAATATCATCCTTAATGCGACTAGTCCTAGCCGTCCTAAGGGTTTAGGGTTTAGGGCTTGGGGGGGGGGGGGGTCCTAGCCCCCCCTTACGTAATGCGAGTAGGTTGCGTCTTGAGCTCGCCAGGCGAAATCTTGTTGTTGCCTCAGCACTGGGGGCCAGAGGTGTCCAAGTGCTCAACTATTTGTTTATTTGTTGCTTAACTGCGGTAACCCTTCAGAGCCTTTTCTCACCTATGCTTACTTATGCCTGCTCTGAAGCCCTCTATCAATAGCTGAAGCCGACAGTGTGTCTTGGGACTTAGCAACTCAAGGGCGAACATCCGACTAAGGCTTGAAGCCGTCAGAGCAGCAACGGACTCAGTTTAGCCGTGCCGCGCTCCGTGCGCCGTCGTGTCTCTGCCTCAATGGAAACCGAGCTGGGAGGGAAGGAAAAATTCTGTGGTTAGAAGCCGAACCCTCACAGCAGCCCTTGAAACATGACGGTGGCAGGATGTAGGTTTTTTCCATACTTTTCAGGACGAAAAGCCCGTCAAAGGAGGAGTGCACAAGTGTACTGGTGCTCCCCTGTCGTCCATGTCAAGTCCACGTCCAACATACGTGACCCCCACCCCCCTCAACCTCTTCAAAGCACACGAACCCGCGCCAGCCCAAGATGCCAGACAGGCGACAATTCATTCTGATTCAACCCTAAACCCTAAACCCTAGACCCTAAACCCTAAACCCCAAACCCTAAATTAAACCCTAAACTGCCCTAAACCCTAAACCCTGTTCATGTGGTGAATAAATCGACCCATGCGGCCTTCAGCTGCTGAAGGGACTCGGGACTCAAACATCTCGCCTGGCTTGTAGAGGATGCAGGGTTTAGGGTTTGGGGAGTTTAGGGTTTAGGGTTTAGGGAGTTTAGGGTTTAGGGGTTTAGGGGTTTAGGGGTTTAGGGGTTTAGGGGTTTAGGGGTTTAGGGGTTTAGGGGTTTAGGGGTTTAGGGGTTTAGGGGTTTAGGGGTTTAGGGGTTTAGGGGTTTAGGGGTTGGGGTTTAGGGCTTAAGGGCTTCAGGATCTTCGAGGGGCCGCCTTTGAAGGCTTTACGACTTGCATGCGATCTCTGCGCTTGAAGTCTTAAAGATCTCGGTCGGGGCCGCAAGAGGGTTTAGGGGTTTAGGGTTTTAGGGTTTAGGGTTTTGGGGTGAAGCGATTAAAGCCCGACCTTTGCTTCAAAGGAGTATGTAGTCGACGCCGAGCGCATGCAATTGCCGTGCTAATTCCATGAACGAACACTTTTCTGAGAATACAGCCGGTAGCCAAAAATAGCAGCCTTCAATCTCAAACTATGAATGAAACCGCCCCTTGAGCCTCCCTCCCCCCCTGTCGGCCGTACAGGAAGCACCAACTGTGTCCGCTCAACACCACAGTTGCTACCAAGGGTAGTTCAGGTACGGTAGCATGTAGGCATGTTGCTAGAGCAAGCAAAGTCGCCTGTCACAGCCTCAAAGCTTCTTTGGGTGACCATGGGCAAATGCTGCAGATGCCAACGACCCTTCAACCTCAAGTGACTCCCAAGCCTAACCTGCAAGCCCAGCAACCGAATTAAAAAAACCTTCGACTTGGGCCCTCTGAATGCAAGCAGCAAATCCTCCAAATCCCAGAGCCCCGGGATGAGCCCCAAGCGATCTCCGAAATTGTGACGGTGGGATCCTGGCACGTCAGGCCATGCAGGCTACGGATGGACCTCCAGGAGACCCCGGCATGCACATCCTGTGGACCTTCTATGTCAAAGGGGCTAAAGGAGGGACCCTCGGGGTTATGTAGGTACATAGGGACTACATACGGTGTATATCGGGGTTCTATATGGGTTATATCGGGGAATACCATGAAGGGCCCCCTTCTAGTGGTCCCTCCTTACACCCCTTTCCTATGGGATCTTTCAGGCCTCGTATCTTCTCCATAGACCGAACCTGTTTTGGACCTACGGCTGGATGCGAACCTGCGATGGCCTCCTATGACCCCCATGACCCCCCCCTATGCACCCAAGCGCTCTCACGGCCTCATGCGCTTGGGTTTGCCAAAGGGGCCCCTCCAAATGTCTAAGAGTTCAGTGTAAAACACCATATTAGCCCTAACACGCTGGACTCTCAGACAAGCGTAGCCCCAAAAGCAGAAACCTCAAACCGAAGCATGTTAAAACCTTACACCGCAGATTCTCCATTGCCGTGAACCCCAGCCTCCACCGAGATTGCATGCATGGCTGCGCGCGAGGCAGCCAGGGCAACGACCCTCAGGTGTCGCAAACTGATGACGTGCAGCTCTCTAGCTGCAACATAGTTGACAGAGCCGGGGTAGAGTAGGTAGGGTTAGATACTGAACCGGAGCCACGAAGATCCTGCGCCCTAAGCCTACTTGAAAGCGATATCATGAAATGCTTGGCAACATGGTACGAGAAACAGGCAATTTCTTCTCTCACTCTCTGA